TGGTTTGATTTTGTAAAGACAGGTTGTCATCTGAAAAACTGTATTCAAATATCCACCACCATTTTAGCAAATTTGACTCAATGCATGAATTAACATAATTATAATTTGGCCAACAATCTAATTTCTCATAAATTAGGTAAATCTGCCAAAATTAACATTTTTGCTAAAAATACATTTTACACTATTCTAAACTACATGCCTTGAATGTGTTTATAAACATCTCTATGTTATGACCTTAATAAATATAACTGCATTTTCGATAAAAAAAACGATTAATAAAATGCATATAAAAAAAATCTTGATTTTCATGGTTTTGTTGACACATTTTCTGATTTTATCTCATGAAGGTTTAAGCGTCTGAACTGTGAACATGGCTGGCGGACATGTCTACTTATGCACCTGGGTTGGGTGACAGCCAACGAATTGATTTATTGGGAGAAAATATGTTGCAGTAAAAAATGTAAATGAGATCGTGTGCCCAATGTCTTTAATGAGGCACTGGTTACTGGTTGAATGTGAAATTTAATTTCAATGAGGTCACAGGACTATGTACAGTCAGTCATTAAAGATGTTGATCATATCATGAGTCTAATGTCTTATATATTACACTGTGTGAATGTCTAATACTGTAGAATACTTTATTTTCGCATGGAATTAATTACCGCTGTTTTCGCTGAAGGAATGATTCAGTGAAAATAAAAACCCGTGAATAAACCTTTTTTCCTATATTTTACATACAGCTTGTCAAAAATCTGCGAAAATAAATTCCATACAAAACACTCAACAAGTCTTTTCAGTGAAAATTAAATCCACCTAAAATAAAGTATTTCACAGTAGTGCTCCTAATATGATGTATGGACAGATTGAGAAACAAATGAACATATGCATTTAACCAGTAAATCGCCAGCGACAACGAGGATAATAAAGGAGAACAAATTGATACTTTTTTTTTTAGGTGGTCCAGCAAATTTAAAATGAAAACCACAATTTATTTAGTATAAATGAATGTACTTTCACGGAAGTAAAACATACGTAATTACATGTAAAGAACACAAGATATAAAATATTTTACTGATGAATCTCTTAATATATTAATTATTATTAAAATATTAACAAAGCTATCAATATTATAATTTTATAACATACCAAAGATTTTTGTTGATGGGAATCCAGCCATCATTCTTGTTAAAATTACACAATATACCGGCAATCATTCCCTGAGAGATAAAAATAAATCGTAATATTAGGTTAATAAAATAAGATATTCACATATTAATATTGAAACTAAATTTAATTTAATTTACAAAATTCTAATAATAAACTTATATAAACTGAATGCTATTTTAATAACAGTTTGCACAGACAAAATAATGATAAAGAATTACTCAATTTTTAACACAACTATCATTTTCACTAGTGCATTTACTCACTATTAACTGATTTAATTTTGTGAGTGAAATTTTTTCGGAATTTTAGTAGTCAGTAGAATTTCGAAGCAGTGAACATTTTTCTGGAGTGCTGAGTTTTAAGCGTTTTTTATGTTGTCCCGATGAATTCTAAAATCATTAAATTTAAACTTACACACTCTCATATTCATAAAATGGCTGCCAAGAACTAGTCGAGTACAATGCAGCATCATGTTTCATACCTCCTCTGTCACTGTGTCTAACTGTACCAATCATCCAGGTATTAAGAACAATGGATGCGGTGACTGGACAGAATTAGACTTGAACTTCTGAAGGTCAAAAACAAGTTGAGCGGTTCTCTCGTTCCCAACGAGATCTCACAATTTGCATTTAGGATCAATTATTCATTAACATTTTTCAAGCGATTTCTCAAAACAAATTAAGAGTCATAGTCGACACGTACGGTATTGCATGTTTGAATTTTATGTAAACATACAATGTACTATCAACATATATGTCACTATATAACCTACTGTATGAACATGACAACCACTGTACTTGGTAAAACTACAGAAAATATAGCAGTAGACAACATGTGGGTATATGAATCAAATACTTTCACTTTGTACGTAAGTTTGCAACACTGCATATCATCAAGGATGTGATCTCTTAATACAATCCCTTTGTAACAATTAACCATCTCACTTAATTAGTGTTCAATATGTTGCACATTTACTTACTGTTAATATCGCCCATAGCAACCATCTTTTAACTCTCTGCTTCCAATCAGTATAAAAAATTAGAATTTTTCCAGCCTGAAAAATAAAAATATTCAGTCAATTGAATTTAAGTATTTGACTAAAAATCACAAATAAGGGGACAGTCAAACAATGACAAAATGTTAATGATTTTAATTTGCCAATCATGATATGGTATTATGCATCATTTCTTTGAAATTTTGTTTTACTGTCTTTACACAGTATGGGTTTGATGAAACATTTTGGATAATTTTACCTATTTTTTTTTACAATTTACAAATTTTACAATTTAATTTTGGGGTAATTAACTCCACCTCTGTCCACTAAGTAAATGAATGCTTATTATGCTCGCTTACTCAAACTGTGATTGACAGACATTTTGCATACATTAGCCGCCATTTAAAACTCAGAATTTTTACTTTTTGCGGCACATTTCGACCGAAAACAACAACATTTATACATCAACAGCCCAACCAGATGAGTGTAATCGCTAGCGTACATATTCATACCCCCGTAGAAATGTATTTGGAATCACAGCTTGATCTCTAAACATCGTAAATGGCACATTTCCCGGAGCTCCTGCCACGATGTGAGCGGCTTGGTTCGGATTAACATACTAATTCATTAAATTGTGGCGGCCATCTTGCCCCTATTTATAGTATCGGTTCCCCTTTAAGCTGTCGATCATGATCAAAATTATTGGAAAATATGAAAGATTTATTTTGTGAAAAATGACAAAAGTTGACAATGATTTACAAAGATTATAAAAAAGGACCACAGAGAAGCTATTCCAAGATGTATAATGGGTAATTGGTCGTTGTTATTTACAAAAGTAAACGCCAAGGAGTAAAAATCAGTCTTGTGTGTACGGTACGAGTCACTCTAATTTGAATACTGTAGAATACTTTATTTTCGCTTGGAATTAATTTTCGCTATTTTCGCTGAAGGGATGATTCCGTGAAAATAAAATCCAGCGAATATACTTTTTTTCCTATATTTCACATTAAACTCATCAAAAATCAGTGAAAATAAATTCCAAGCAAAACGCCCAAAAAGCCTTTTCAGCGAAAATTAAATCCAGCGAAAATAAAGTATTCCACAGTATTACTCAAAATACGGAAAAATATCAAAATGTGCATCATTCATCGTCTCCTCTCAAGGGGTGAAACTTTAAAAAAAATACTTTTAAAAAGTAATAATTACCAGTAACCCTAAAAATGTAATGAATATTGCAGGAAGACATCCCAGAATTCCTTCTGGATCATATGGACCAGTCTGATATAAAACCTGGAATAAATAACGTTATTACAACAATAATGAAATTATTTCCACAGTGTTATCAGATGCGAGTTAGACTAAATCTATTATCGTGATATTTTGAAACATCTATGAATACCGGTAATAGACTACTGAATCGATCTGGAGGGCTGTGGGTGGGTCCTTAAATATGGGTCAGTCTGCGCATGCAAGTTCCCATGGTGATGTTCTGAAGACCTGGAGACAGAATTCTGTGTCGTCTACATATTTACATAGTATTATGTCAGTGTACAAATCCTATATACATAACGTGTATTCATAAGTTTTTGTCTTTTTTGAATGGATCATTACTGTCTACACATTAATTAATAGTTTCCATGGTTATGATGAACGTCAATAATGTTACATTAAGTTTGCAGAAACTACACAGAAATAACAATTCTATATCCTTGCAAATTTAGTAAGCAAACTCATAATTTATGTCAGTGTACAAGGATTTGAAAGTAATAAAATATTTTTTTTTAAAATCAATAAACTTACCAAACATGTTGGATGAGGATAAATATGATTTATACCGAATACACTTTTATCGATGTGACCTGCTGCACCACCAGTACAATTATAGAGATCAGTGTCATTGTCGGTATGTAACAGAGAACCACCGGGACCTTGGTAACCCCTACAAGGTGAACAAGACAACTTTAAAATTCTTAAAACTTCCTAAAACATTTCTAAAACTATTGGTCGTATACTTCGACCGAAAACAACAACTTTTATACATCAAAAGCCCAACCAGATGAGTGTAATCGCTAGCGTACATATTCATGCCCCCGTAGATATGTATTTGGAATCACAGCTTGATCTCTAAACATCGTAAATTTCCCAGAGCTCCCGCCACGATGTGAACGGCTTGGTTCGAATTAGCTACTAATTGCGGTGGCCATCTTGCCCCTATTTATAGTATCGGTTTCTCTTTAAGTATACATTTAATTTGACTTACGTTGGACAGTCGGGTATCGGTAAGACAAACGTCAAGCACAAGTATAGGGTAACTACACATATTGCTACCAGCCAATGTATCCAGAGATATACAAAGTCTCTGATTGGTGCATAATATTTGTACTGTAATAGACAACATTAATAACAAGTTATGCATGTCATCTTTCCAATGAACAGCGCCCTCAAGCACCAAGGGACAGCAGTGAAAACATGGAGATTGGTGGAAGCGAATAGAATTCGCAGCTTTGTCGTTGTTATCCACTAGAGGGCGCCATTTATTAAACAGAGCGATGTGAACAAACATATTAACACAATAATTAAAGCGGGAGGGTCTGTGCACGCGCCGGGAATTGCGTCCCAAGCAACACACGCTAAAAACACAAAGGCTCATGGGTAGACGCTTGTTTGTAAACAATGACACGCTATGGCCATCTGACGCATACGCAGGTGACGACTCTCCCGCTTTAAATCAGAATAAATTAAATCTTGTTCATCACTGGTGAGGCGCAATTCATTTACAAGAATAAAACAGTAGACTAAATTCTCACAACAAAGGCAGTAAGAAATACATATATTGACCTACTATTACAAGTATATTAGTAGGGAGAATTTTGATCATTAAAATGTAGTATACAGAACTCATTCTTGTATTTTGGGCTTGGTATCATAATTCGTAAACACACATTCACACTCACTCGCTCACACGCACACATGCACTGGTAATTTTAGTGTGTAAAGATATGCTTTCATCAATTGTGGCAAGAATGATTCTTCATTTTATTTTAATCATTCAGAGAAAATGATCAAACAGAGCAGAATTCTCACAAAATAAAGAGAGCAATGAAAACATTTTACCTTGTATGGATCATCTTTTTTAACTGATAACATCTCTACAATAGCGACAACAAAATAACACACACTAAACCTCTGTAAAACACCAGGTATTCGTATGTGGTTTAAATCAACACCGTTTCTATCTATAATAAAGTAAAGCAGGTTGATTAAATCTCTACAGTTGTCGCATCACTTTGTGTTCAGTACGGTTGCCATGCGACATAGATAAAATGTGGGTAATGTATGTTTGCGAGTTCAACTGTGAACAGTAAAAACCTTGAAATTTTGTAGCAGTGAAACTTTCTCTGGGTCGTTAGAGCGTCGATGATTTTCGTGAAATTCTGTCATCAAATCACAAAAAACTTCCGGCAGCGAAAATCAAGTGGTTTATAGTACCGGTTAATAGCTAATTTTTTAACAGCCCTTACACACGACCTCTAAAGGTCACCCATCCTGGTACTTTCTGAAAGTGATATCGTCCTGTCGCATACAAAATTTCCAATATTAATATTTTAGCCATGAACTTTTTTAGAAAAGAAAATTCCGAAATGTTCATGAATGGAGAATGTATCCCCCCAGAAATACCAGGATGTGTGACCTTTAATAACCTTACCTTTCCCAGTGTTTAATATAAGTCCAAGTATAAAAAGTATAGCTGATCTTTTGCAAATTTTAATAAACATCTTTTTCTTGGAGAATCCCTTAATAGACAATGAATGGAAAGCCAGTGCAATTGATGTACCCATAATAAATACAAACCTATAACAAAGAAACACAAAAATTGGTGATTAATAAATAACTCTGTGGTTCGTATAATCTCCGTGTTGCGTATAATAATGCATTTCCTAAATTCCTGGGTCGGCCTAGGGACTGTAGTGCTAGCGATATGTTTGTGTTGTCAAACATTCCTACATTTGATGCTCTTAGACGAAACATGCTTTTTTATACGCGTCTAACTATAAGTGATAATAGAATCGTTGCAGTGCTTTTATCATCAGACAGGCATTTATGTTCGAAGTTTTATGTATACGCCACAGCTATGCGAGAACAATGAATTTATTTATAAGTCAAGTATTTTTTTCCTCTTCTTTTTGTTTATATATATTGTTTTTTATTGTTTTTTTTTTTTTTAATATGTGATGTACGAACTTTTCCACTTTATATCCTGTAATAAAGATTTAATAATAATAATAAAATAACTATCAAGATTTTATAAAGCTAAGGGTACGCAATTTAGACATCTATATGTGTGCATGATGAAGAATCCACTCACTAGGAGTTTCATACATGCGTCAGTGGAACATGGTCTGATCAATAACATCACAGAACACAGGGGGTTATTGAAAAGGTTAAATTAATTTGCCTGAACTCGAAAGAGCAAAGTGTACTATTATTAAAAAAAAAACATTATGGACGTCAATTTGATATCACATTCAAACATTTTTTCCTCGCTTACAACAGTCACAGCAACCTTGTAGCAAGGAGAAAGAGAATAAACTTACCATGGGAAAACAAGGTCAGCTACAGTAAGACCTACATATAAATAAAATACAAAAATAAAATAAAATTGTTACTCTCTATTAGTATGTTGTTAAAATGAATTAAACCACCAATGAAGGTGGGTTTGGAATGTTCAAAATCTGTCCTACCTTCCAGTTTTCAACCCCAGGCCACACGATATGCGCAAGCACACAAACGATCAGCGCGTAAACGCTATCAGTGAATTTGCACCTCTATTTTGGCATTGCAAGGTAATTTCTTGTTAGCGACAACATTAATATACGTAAAATCATCTCAACTGACATAATTTCAAAAAAATTCAAATGGCGATTAGTGCCGTGCACATGATTGCATTTGAAGGTTTGTGATCGAGCTAC